CCGCGGCCGCCGGGCCGCCCAGCGGGAAGGAGATGCCGAAAGCGGCGGGCGGCAGCATGGGCTTGGCTGCCATCTTCAGCTTCTCCAGCTCGGCCTCCTGGAGCCGCTTGGCCTTGGCGCGCCGGTTCTGGAACCAGATCTTCACCTGGGTCTCGGTGAGGCTGAGCGAGCTGGAGAACTCGGCGCGCTCGGCGATGGACAGGTACTGCTTCTGCCGAAACTTCCTCTCCAGCGCCAGCAGCTGCGCCGTGGTGAAGGGCGTCCGCGGCTTCCTGTTGGTCTTGTGCTTGCGCAGGGTGCAGGCCGGGGGGCTCAGGCGCCCTGCGGTGGAGGGAGCAGCCGGGGGGGAGGGAGAGAGAGACACCTCGGTTAGCAGCGCCCGGAGCGGGACACCCTGCAAAGCCCCATCCCCTAGCGTTGTTGAGAGGGTAATAGGGTCCCAGTCAAAGTGGCCTCAAAACTCCACAGTTTTGGACCATGCCGGTCCTCCCTGCCCGGGGCACTCCTCAAACTGATCTCTCCCTTCCTAGCAAAGGGAGAGGATGTTTCACTAAAAAACGAAGTTTTACGAGTGTCCCAGGACCGAACTGGCTATCTGCGGTTCGTAGCTAGAACATCTCTGACTTTGCGGAAAGCCTCTACGGGCGGAGGAGAGCCCGGCGCCCCCAGACCCTCTGCCTCCTGCACGCACATCTTCCCACCCTTCAGGAGTAAGGGACAAGTGAAGGGAACGACTCCTCCAAAAATATATGTGCTGTCCTTTTTACTGGATTAAAGAAAAAAAATTAAACAAAACGGGCTGGCTTCTCAGACTCACACCCTCTTCATTAGGCCCCTGGGAACCAGATTAAGCATGTAATTAATTACGAGCTCTGAATTCACACTCAGCCTCTATCTACTGGTCTTCAGTGGTCTGCTTCCTCTACTCTTATTTAACATTTCTAAGGGCGCTCAACCTCGGCCTATTCTCGGTTTACTTAAGTAAAAACAACTTTTACTTTGCAATTCAAATAAATTAAACCACTGCGGTATGCTCCACAAGTCATTTGGAGAGGCTCTCCTTTCGCAAAGGGAGGGAGAGAGCAGCCCAAGCCCTGCGCCCCCCTGACTGCTGTTTTTACTGTTTGAGGTCTCTGCAGTAAAGTAGCAAAAACATGAATAATTGCAGCTCCCCGGGCTTTCGAAACACTTGAGACAGTTGTTTGTAGTGCTCAAGCCTGCGCAGGTCCGAAGACTGCATCCTGCACGGCTCGGAACCCGATTTACGCGGATCCTTATAAAATAATTCCAGCTACTTTGAGAAAAAACACTTCCTAGATTAAGTCATGCTCGCAGACTTTTTATGGCCACTTCAGCCCAAAAGTTAAGCTAACGGGCAGGCAGGCAGGGCTTCTTCCCCCCACCCATCCCCCCAGTTAACATTTGGCACAAGAAATCGCCCTGGCATAACCCGTTCTTCGTCCGCGTTTGAAGCCCACCCTCTGAGGCTGAACCGAGGCTTCGGACACACTCGAAACATTTCAGTAGTTTGAGAAGGCTTAAGTGGCGCGGCGGAGAGAGGGAACCGCAGGACAGAAGACTTAAGGAGAGGCCAGGCAGAGCGAAACCCAAAGGAAATCCCTTCCTGACTTCGCGGCGCTGCCCGGGAGGGGGACCAACGGGCCCGGGGGCTCCGCAGCGGCCGCCGGGGCTCGGCACCGCCCGCCCGCCCCGCCGGGGCTGCCCGCGCCCGAGCTCCTACTTACTCCGAGGGGGCCGCGCG